TTGGACACACATGAGGACCTGCAGTCACTATGCACTGCCTACCCTTGTCATTCCACTACAGCCAATCTCCTACTTATTCCAGAGTGTATTGAGTTTGTTACAAGTACAATTATGCACACAGAGACAACTTTATAGGCAAGACTTTTTATACCTTTTTTTGTACATAAAGAGTTGGTGGTGGAAACCCCAAAAATATAACCATACAACAAGTTGTTCACGGAAGAGCGCAAGTCTTTATTATACCACAACACCTAAGACTACCAAACAGGCGGTGCATATGCAAATGAGGTATAGATACACAAGTGCCCTCATATTGCATCCCCTTACAAAAAATGTATACTGTACAATGAAACATGTTTACTTTTTTTTTGACATTATATATGACAAATTCTACATTTAAAAATTTAATTGTTTTATATGTATTTTGATTACGCCTGCGGCGATACAATATCCCAATAAGAAACATATATTTGTTCTTTACAAAAACTTAAAATAAAATATATCCAAATATAGTAAAACAGAGGAATATTATGTTTTTTGTTTTTTTTTGAATTTCAGTTATGGTGGAATGTCTATATAACAAGTAAATGAAGAGTAAACACAGATAACCTACCTGCCATGCATAACCACTGTAACCTTCATCACCAAATACAACTTCACCCTCATATGGCCCAAACTGAACACCTACAAATTTTTTAACAAACATATTTTGTTAGTTTGTTGGGTCACAATAATTAAATTGATTTTGTCTTGCTCTGTCATATATTTTTTTTTAGCATCGTCAACTTTGGGTTTTTATAGCTTTCAGTCGGAAGTTAAAATAACAGATAGTATTCATGCAATACTCTATGTTACTACGGTATAGATATTACAATTTTTTCAAATATAAACAGGTTTAAAAACAATAAAAATCATATAAATAACAATAATAATAATAACACAAATAACAACATTTAATAAATATATATCAATCCTACAAGCTGTTTACTTAGCATTTTCAGAAAAAATGAACAGAAAAGGAAGAAAAATATCTGAACAGATTTCTCTTTTTTGAAACGCATACCTTTAGGAAAACTTGTCTTTGTCCAAACACCAAGCCCTGCCTTCCTTATTTTTGACGGTCTAATTTGAAGACCATCAGGAAGACTTAAACGTGCACGATCATTGCATGTTTTAGATGTTGGTTTATCCTTTACTTTAATTAGCGGGTGAAGTGGACACTGACCCTCATTCAGTTCACAGCAGTCTTCACAATCTAAGGTAAAAAAAGATCACAGTAAGTAAATATAAGTTTACATGATGCCTTGATTCACTACCACATTCATAACAGAGTAACATTAATTAAATTATATTAATAAAGAGCTTAAAAGTTAAATACATTGGAACAAAAATTGCAAAGATTTTGGCAAGAAGATGAAAAATGGGGATGCTATTTTAGTACAGAAATTGGAAATATTGATAGTGGTATACTGATAGGATAATAGTGATCATGGTTCAATTGTTTTTACCCTATAAAAAATGTAAACCTATTCAACATTGAAAAAATGGCAATGGTAAACAAAGATCATATGAATCAGTCCTACTCACAAATGAAGTTGTCATCATCTGGTATTTCTGACTCCTTATAGCAAACCATAGGCTTAATTTCACTTCTTTTTGGATAGCGGTTTGATGCAACACCACCACCTAATAATATATATTTTATTTTCAAAATATTTATTCAAGGTATATTCATTGTACAACATACAAAGAAATGAAATACATTGTTTTCAGTAAGGACTATTTACTAACACTAGATTTATAGAAGTTGACGAAAGAAAAAAAGATAAAAATTCAGAATGATGTACCGGTACTGAAATGTCAAGATGCAAGAGCTTTACGTAATATGTTTATAATTAATTTTTACTATGGCAGTTCTGATTCTTGTGATTGTGATGTATGTACTGTGTATGAAATGTATCAAATCTATAGCTCCATAGTATCATTCCAGCATTTCATAGTACTAACTGGTTTGTAATGATGCTACTACACCAACATACCTGCCCATGTACATCAGAGACTACCTGTATAAAAAGGTACTGTAATGAGTTCTACAATATTAAATTTTCATATTGGATAATCAAAAAAAATTGTCTGAAACCAAAAATTTGAATTGTCTCAAAGTGAAACACATGTGCAAATTACTACAATGCTAAAGAAGCCTTCTATTTGTAGCATACCTTTAGCTTTCCTAGACTTTCCTGCAGATCTGCAGTCATCACTTTGAATATTGCCACCATTGCCAGAATTAGATGCAGACTCTGTTTCAGCAAGTTGGTTCCTCTAGAATAAGATTCAATTATCCATTACACTCTGAAAGTACTGCATAAAGTAACCTTTACTACATGATGCCATAATTACATCAAGACAATAACACCAGATTGTTATTTTAATGAAGAACTTTTTCCAAATTTTATAGCTACCAATTCAAATCTACTTTGCATGTTAAAAATTCAAATCTATTAAACATTTTGTTTCCCTCTCAGACAATCCCACCTGTTATACACTACAGTAGTTAAAAAACTTAAAATTAAATCCCAGTCCGCACTATCAAATTTTATGGACAAATTGTGTGATGTGCCCACGTATGGGCATGATGACCCAGTAACAGTTATTTGATCACACATAAAATTGTATAGTGTGGACAAAGCTATAGCAATGATATTGGCCTTAATTATAAATTATCAACAAGATCATTGAACAACACATCTTTCATAGGATAGGATAGAAGTTATTTCAGTGTGCACCAAGGACAACCCACTAAAAGTCCAAAGACTTGTTTCCAGCGGGGTGCTTCTGGTGGTGAATAAGGCGTTTTATGGTTCTATTAACATGCACATGGGCCATATTGCACACAGCACCAATGACTTAAACGTCTCTTCTGGAAGACGGTGCCCTATCGTAATTTGTATTTCAGTTCTTTAGCTGAAACACAAGGAAAACAGCAATAGAAATTGAACCGGGGACCTAGAGATCACCACGGTTTAGCGCACACGCAGTGGCTACCACCAATTTAGCTGACTGAGCTAAGCTGCACTCTTAAAATAGGGACAATGGAATTTTGTTATATCATTTACTGAATTTTTATATAAATTATATTAATTTCAAAACAAATCACTTAAAAAATAATAAATAATTTTACCTTTATGTTTTGATTTTTACTTGTTTGTCCATATACACGAAATGGAGCACTAAATCTACTGGATACTGAAAAAATAATACAGTAATTGATAAAACTTCCATTTTATACTCGTCTATTATTCTATAATAGGGCCAGTGGTACATGGTACAAACACACTGAAAATTTGTTTAAAAAGGAGGCGTTCCAATACAGGGGGTGGAGCCAGGTTCCCCGTCGGTGAGAAAAAGCACAATTTGTTGGGGAGAAAAAGCAATTATATGTATTTTCTACATATTAATAGACTTTAAAATTTATAAAATAAGCCTTTTATGGAAACCCCTGAATTGTCAAAATTTTTGGGGGGTTTGAGCAACACCCCCTCACTTTGCTCTCGTTGGAGACATGGCCCCACCTCTGTCCAACCTCTGACGCCACGACAGGAGAATCCTGGCGCCACCCATGTTCCTACATTGTAAATCAGAATTATAGGTAGTCATATTTGTACCTTCTGTATCAGTACTTTATGTTGAACAATTGTTTCAGAATAATTTATAGTGCAGCTATTTATTTTTTTTAATACAGTAGCTTAGGCCTATGCAACTAACACATGACAAAAGCATTTTTACATACTCTTCTTTCTTTTCACAGTAACAGCGTCTACCCCAGGTTTCCAATCTTCATCACTGTCGTCACTATCAATAACTTTTCTCTTTTTTGGATGAAATGGTCCTTTCATGAAAACTGGCTTTGAAACTTCCAGTCCTACAAATACATCACAGTAATAATAATGGTTAAATGTCTCTAAGCAACATGCTATATAAGTTTAGTATAATCATGTTACTATTTCATGATTTTGATGTCAAATATAGTCTTATGTCCAACCAAGAATGATATAAATGTAAAAAAGACAGGCAACACTTTTAAGTCAAATTATATTTTATTGAGCACAAGCTTTCATTCATGCAGTAAACAAAAGCTTGTATTCAATTAAGTATACTTTGTTTGTCTTTAAAGTGCTGCCTGTCTGTCTATTCATTGATTGTTTTGGTGGTTATCACAGTTGTACTGATGATGTCTGGACAGCCACTTAACAGTTTTTTAAACTTTTGGTAATCCAAGGAAAGTAGCATCATATACTCTATATTTGTTTTTATTTTTCCTAAAATAAATTTTGGAAATGAATTTTAATGTATAGTTCAAACTAATACAGCCACCATACTATTCCATCATAATGTTCAAGAATGTTTTATACGTAATAATAATTAGGTCTACTGCTACTAATTAATGAATGATGACAATAATAATAATAGTACTGTAATAATAAATAATAATATCAATATTATAGTTTTAACTATACTATGGATAGTAATGATAACAATACCTAATAAATAATAAAATTGATGATACTATGATAGATATAGTCCTAGTAATTAATAATATCAATACTAATAATAATGACACTAATGTATAACAATAGCACTTAACAAAAATAATAAAAACCAAACAGCAGCAACAACAACAATAATGTACTAGGGAGGCCTATTATCACTCAATGTTTGAATAGTTGCGACAGAGGAGGGACTAGGCCTAGGCCTAGTCGGAGTTACCAATAAGCTTGCGAAGAAAAAGGGAGGGCATTCCAGTCTTTAGCTGTGTTGGGGAAAAAAGAGAAAGAAAGCGATTTTCTTGGCCTTCGGTATCTTTAATGAAAGGGGGTTATGGTTATAATTAATAATAATATTTAATAACGAAAATTATAGATTTGACATTTTCCTAAGTTAAAGTTGCTATTCTTCAGAATCATGTCAAACAAGGCTAACCTATTTTAATCATCATTTCATAATTCTGTTTCATGTTAAGATGCCTCTTCTTCTCATAATCCGACATGGCTGCAAATTGTTTCCCAGTAAAATATGGCCTCAATACGTCTTCATCCATCTTTAAAATTTTCCTTAAATATAAACAAAATTCTATTATTATTCTTGGGCCCTTGGACGCCGAGGCTTAGGCCCTGACATAACACAGACTTAAGCCTACCTTACCAACTGTTATCACCTAGGCCTAGCCTTGCTAGACCTACGCCTAGGCCTAGGCCTAGCCAAGGGTTGGGGCCTAGGCCTAGTAGATAAAGGCCTAATATAGGCATAGGAATAGCTATCCATATTCAATTTTATTTCTCAACTAACTTACTAGGCCCTAGGCCTATGATTACCTCCCCTCGGCTCACCTTAATATTTCTGATTCACTAGGCCTAATAAACAACAAAAAATTGTAGCATCTAAAATAAAAAGTTACTGCTACTGGTTAGCTGCGTTGTACAGAAAGACGTCTGCTGCGTTGTTTTGCGCGCGTCGAAGCGAGATTACATATTCAGGCACGTTATTGTGATTTGGCTATTGTTGCTGATTGGTTCGAAGTTTTGCTTCTGTCATCGTCGCTCCCTCGATGCCTGGCGCCCTCTATTGAAAGAAAAGTTATTAGAGAGAGAGAGGATTTCAACTTCACGGTACGTTAGTATCTTATTCCTCCTCGGTCTTATTCGCCTCATTCATAATGTACGGAAGCACCTAAGTAGATGTGTATAAGAGACAGCTACTACACCAACATACCTGCCCATGTACATCAGAGACTACCTGTATAAAAAGGTACTGTAATGAGTTCTACAATATTAAATTTTCATATTGGATAATCAAAAAAAATTGTCTGAAACCAAAAATTTGAATTGTCTCAAAGTGAAACACATGTGCAAATTACTACAATGCTAAAGAAGCCTTCTATTTGTAGCATACCTTTAGCTTTCCTAGACTTTCCTGCAGATCTGCAGTCATCACTTTGAATATTGCCACCATTGCCAGAATTAGATGCAGACTCTGTTTCAGCAAGTTGGTTCCTCTAGAATAAGATTCAATTATCCATTACACTCTGAAAGTACTGCATAAAGTAACCTTTACTACATGATGCCATAATTACATCAAGACAATAACACCAGATTGTTATTTTAATGAAGAACTTTTTCCAAATTTTATAGCTACCAATTCAAATCTACTTTGCATGTTAAAAATTCAAATCTATTAAACATTTATTTCCCTCTCAGACGATCCCACCTGTTATACACTACAGTAGTTAAAAAACTTAATATTAAATCCCAGTCCGCACTATCAAATTTTATGGACAAATTGTGTGATGTGCCCACGTATGGGCATGATGACCCAATAACAGTTATTTGATCACACATAGAATTGTATAGTGTGGACAAAGCTATAGCAATGATATTGGCCTTAATTATAAATTATCAACAAGATCATTGAACAACACATCTTTCATAGGATAGGATAGAAGTTATTTCAGTGTGCACCAAGGACAACCCACTAAAAGTCCAAAGACTTGTTTCCAGCGGGGTGCTTCTGGTGGTGAATAAGGCGTTTTATGGTTCTATTAACATGCACATGGGCCATATTGCACACAGCACCAATGACTTAAACGTCTCTTCTGGAAGACGGTGCCCTATCGTAATTTGTATTTCAGTTCTTTAGCTGAAACACAAGGAAAACAGCAATAGAAATTGAACCGGGGACCTAGAGATCACCACGGTTTAGCGCACACGCAGTGGCTACCACCAATTTAGCTGACTGAGCTAAGCTGCACTCTTAAAATAGGGACAATGGAATTTTGTTATATCATTTACTGAATTTTTATATAAATTATATTAATTTCAAAACAAATCACTTAAAAAATAATAAATAATTTTACCTTTATGTTTTGATTTTTACTTGTTTGTCCATATACACGAAATGGAGCACTAAATCTACTGGATACTGAAAAAATAATACAGTAATTGATAAAACTTCCATTTTATACTCGTCTATTATTCTATAATAGGGCCAGTGGTACATGGTACAAACACACTGAAAATTTGTTTAAAAAGGAGGCGTTCCAATACAGGGGGTGGAGCCAGGTTCCCCGTCGGTGAGAAAAAGCACAATTCGTTGGGGAGAAAAAGCAATTATATGTATTTTCTACATATTAATAGACTTTAAAATTTATAAAATAAGCCTTTTATGGAAACCCCTGAATTGTCAAAATTTTTGGGGGATTTGAGCAACACCCCCTCACTTTGCTCTCGTTGGAGCTGTCTCTTATACACATCTAGATGTGTATAAGAGACAGATTATAGGGGGTCCTAGGCCTGAAAATTAAAACAATCTTGATCTTGATAAGGTAATTGAAAAACTCCAGCTGGAGTATCACTCAATGTTTGAATAGTGGCGACAGAGGAGGGACTAGGCCTAGTCGGAGTTACCAATAAGCTTGCGAAGAAAAAGGGAGGGCATTCCAGTCTTTAGCTGTGTTGGGGAAAAAAGAGTAAAGAAAGCGATTTGTCTTGGCCTTCGGTATCTTTAATGAAAGGGGGTTATGGTTATGGTTATAATTAATAATAATATTTAATAACGAAAATTGTAGATTTGACATTTTCCTAAGTTGCTATGTTAGACATTCTTCAGAATCATGTCAAACAAGGCTAACCTATTTTAATCATCATTTCATAATTCTGTTTCATGTTAAGATGCCTCTTCTTCTCATATTCCGACATGGCTGCAAATTGTTTCCCAGTAAAATATGGCTTCAATAAGTCTTCATCCATCTTTGAAATTTTCCTTAAATATAAACAAAATTCTATTATTAATATTCTTGGGCCCTTGGACGCCGAGGCATAGGCCCTGACATAACACAGGCTTAAGCCTACCAACCTAGCCTAGGCCTAGCCTAGCTAGGCCTACCTACGCCTACCTACGCCTAGCCAAAGGTTGGGGCCTAGGCTAGATAAAGGCCTAATATAGACATAGGAATAGCTATCCATATTCAATTTTATTTCTCAGCTAACTTACTAGGCCTATGATTACCTCCCCTCGGCTCACCTTAATATTTCTGATTCACTAAAAAACAACAAAAAATTGTAGCATCTAAAATAAAAAGTTTCTGCTACTGGTTAGCTGCGTTGTACAGAAAGACGTCTGCTGCGTTGTTTTGCGCGCGTCGAAGCGAGATTTATATATTCAGGCACGTTATTGTTGCTGATTGGTTCGAAGTTTTGCTTCTGTCGTCGTCGCTCCTCGATGGATGGTGCCTGGCGCCCTCTATTAAAAGAAAAGTTATTAGAGAGAGAGAGAGAGGATTTCAACTTCACGGTACGTTAGTATCTTATTCCTCCTCAGTCTTATTCGCCTCATGCATAATAAGAGACTACCGCACTGTAATACTCAGCTGCATGATGAATGTTGATGTCATTGTCATTTTGTGTGTCGAGTACGGTAGTTGTTATTACGAGCGAGTGGATTTAATTTACAACGTTTGTTTTACTACTGATGGATCCACCACTGATGACATAAAAATAATACGAAAATTTACTGTACCAATAATAAGCTGTCAACATAACAGATGAGTTATAATTTGAACTGACAATCACACCTGTATGCAAATTGACTGTTCCGCTAAGCATTCCCCATGGACATTGTTGTTAAGGTTCCACAAAATGATAGTATTAATGTCCTGTAATGCTTGTGGGCAATGCCATAGTCAGGATTTTTAAACAGCGTGTGGGACAATATCAGGGTGGACCCATTTTACGCATAAATTAAAATAAAGAAAAAGCCTAGTAGGCCTTAATTTTCTTTTCTTTTTTTAGGACTCTAGCTTCTCTCTTCGATATGGGCGTCTTTTCGAGATGGGCTTCGAGATTACTTTTGCAAACTAAAGAGGGGGCTTCTTTTCAAAAATGAGTGCTGTAAATTGGAAGCGGTTACCGTATTACATTTTTTAACTATGGACTATGGAATTCGAAATCATTTAGCTTTTAACCATGCTAGTACAATTATAATAATATTTATGACACGCTATCATAGTCATCAAAGATAACGTCAGTCTATGTACTGTAAAAGAAGCCCGTACTATCTTGATAAGAAGCCCAATTTGCATTTTTTTAAAATATTTTGAATGAAATAAAAAGCATTATTGATAATCATTATTATTAAATTGAGACGATTTAATACTATCAATATTCTAATAATATTATACCAATATACCTTGCATTTAAAACACATGCATCTCTCCTATTTATGAGGCTTCGGGAATGACATTAAGAAATCCGATGGTTTCATGTAGAATTTGAACCTACAAGATATAGAAGTCAAACCAGAATAGTAATACCTGTACAACAAATCTATGTTTTATAAATTTGCAACTTCATTTTATGTGCATGGTCCAAATATATGATACACAATTGAACAAAATCGTAGTTAAGAGCTATATAGTGAAAGATTAAATGAAATAATTTCAATTTTGAACTTCTGTAAAGTTAAAATATCAATAGATTAGGTTTAGGTTATAAAATTGGTAGTTGTATTATGATGAAATAAAAGTGGGACGACTCCACAAGAGAGAGAGAGGGATGGGAGAGAGAGGAGGGAGCGCGGAGGAGAGAGATGGAGAGAGAGAGAAAAGAAACCCAGCTTCTTTTCAATGTTACTTTTGATAACTAAAGGGGGTGCTTCTTTTCTAGATGGGCTTCTTCTCCGAGAGATTAACATCATGGGCTTCATTCGAGGTTTCACGTTATATGATAACAATCCAATGACCAGATAGAGGGGAGGTATTTTTGTCGTATCGTTGTCGAAATAAATGTTGCATGAACGAAACGACAACCGCGCACTCTAAATAAAAAAAAAATAGATGTGATACACAGATAAAACGAGAAAGCAATTCAAATAGCGAAGATAAACATCTTGCGAGAGGCTCGCAAAACCTCATCTTTTCTTTCCGTCATTTTCTTTCTTTATGAAAGAATTTGGAACAATTTCGGGAACATCATCGATTAAAAGGGTCCGAGGACACTTCTTTGTGGCCCCGCTAGACACCAATCGCCACTGGAAATGATATTTGCCGGATTTTTGACTGATATACCTATTTTGGCAGTGTTTGCTTTCCATACCGAACCCCAACGCTCGACGACGCGATCGAGGCAGCTGATGAGGACCCTGGATTTTTAGAAAGGGGAGAAATAGACGATAGGCCTAGCTTAGAAGTAGTAGTTGGTACAGCGTTATATAGTAGGCCAATCAATTGGAAACTGATGTTATCATGTTTGTGGTAACACCTCTGACACAGACTACGTGCTACATATGTAGAACTACCTCAAGGCTTACGTGTTTAAAGTGTAGGCCTAGGCCTACAAGAAGTAGGCGTAAGTACACTGCCACAACAACAGGGACGAGGGATCGACACGCAGTATCCTGTTGTACAGTCAGAAATCTAGGCCTAGGTCCAGGCCTACGCTTTCATACAACACGCATGAGGTAAGACCAAGCCTAGGCCCTAGACTTAAATTTAATAAAGTATAGAAAAAAATAATCCCATGGGGCCATACTATTATTAATTATTGATGCCCTTGATGGCTTCTTTTCAAAAAAGGTAACACAGCTAGGCCTAGGCCTAAATACTGTATTATTATTAGGCTATGCCTAGTATGAATGAAATCTCTAAAGAGGGGGCTTCTTTTCCAGATGGGCTTCTTCTCGCATCTTTTCTTATTTTTCTACGTAACAATATATTCTTATACTATTTTATAACTAAACTGGAGATAGCCTCTGTGTGTGCTCTAAACTGTTGAGATGATGATCCTCCCAGTTCAGTGCACCTTTCTGCTTGGATATTGTTGCTAAGGCCCGACAAAACGACAGTCTTAAAACATACGCAAGGATGTGCATTTGAGGGACATGTGCTTATTAGACGGGCACTTATTGCTGGTCAGTGCAAGTTTCAATAGCGCACTGTATTTCATATGCAAATTAAAGAACACAGTGCACTTTTCAGAAAATAGTAGGAAATTGTCTCCTGGTGTACTGCCCAATCACCACCAGAAGGATCCGACTGGAAATGAAACTTATTTAGACTTTCATGGGTTATCTTTATCTTTTCTCAATTGTTACACTAAATCTTTACTCCAGCGTAAATTGTTGAAATACTGTAGTTAACTGAATAAAACATTTTGTTTAGCTCAACAGGTGTACCTGAATATGATGTGTGCATCATTGGTGGTGGAATCGTTGGCTTGGCAACAGCTCAGGAACTTATTCTAAGACATCCCAACTTAAAATTTGCTGTTTTAGAAAAAGAAAATGAATTAGGTTAGTTTAATTTTAACTTTAACCCCATATTTGTCATGTATGTTACAGCTATTTCAGACTTTGTAAATTTTATTTGAAACTGTAAAGGAAAAAGACTGTGCAAAGAAATCCTTACTATAAGAGAAGCATAGATATACTACTGTGCATAATCATACCAAACTCAGGATTGGAGCTGTAGAAAACAAAAGGTGGGTGGTAGACATTTTAAGAAGGGCTGGTAATTTGGTAAATTCTAAATATTACAGGTGGGTTTTAAGATGGACAGGGGTTAATAATGGTGGGTGGAGGGCCATGAAATTTGCTTTAGACTGGGTGAAAAACTTCAGGACTGCGCGGCCCCGTCTACCATAAATACATCCCTGCAAACTGTGTATAACATTTAATTGGTAAAAGTTAACATAATCATGCCAGATCAGAAAACAAAATAAACATACTGACAAACACCAGCATGTGAGTGGTCAGCCACACATCACTTAACCAACACTGTGCTAACCACCACCAGCTCATTATTGTTTGTTTGATATTATTTGTGAATTTGTATCCCTGGTGCAGCTCAGTGCATTGTATTTCTTAGTGGAACAAAGAGTATAGAATTGTAAGAGATTCAACTGGCCTGATTTTTGTATGCACGCAAATGAAACGTTAAAAAAAGTACTACCACAAGATAGGGGGCGCCCTATTTAGGAACGGCTTTTACATTGTTGTGAGGAATGCCCTCTAGTTTGTGGTAGTCGTTTCTTTGAGATAGGAACTGCATTCCAACGAACCCCAAGATTCGGATCTCTTGCAGTTCTATAGTCTTTGGGGGTAGGCACACTGAGAAACATGCTGCATCACATAGACTTTCACAAGATGCAAAGCTCAGATTATTTGCAGAACAAGACACTCTTCAAGCACATGACTATTTAGTGAATGCCTGAAACAAATTACAAGATAGAGAGCTTGTTACATTTGCCAATCAGAAGACAGAATGTTTTCAGTAAATGCTCTGAAGTGTATCAACATCATGTTGTGTGATAGCCAATCAGAGGACATAGAGTTCAGAATGTTTACTGTAAAGGATGAGCGGAAGCGTCAAGATCTAGAGGCTGTATATACAACCAATCATAGGACAGAGAGTTCAGGATGTTTAAATTCCCAGAAGACAGTTCAAAATTTAGAGGCTGTACTGCTACATCATAGCTAATCAGAGGACAGAGAATTCAGGATGTTTAAATGCTCGGAAGACAGTTCAAAATCTAGAGGTTGTACATGTGCATCACAGCCAATCAGAGGACAGAGAGTTCAGGATGTTAGATTGCTCAGTAGACAGATCACAATCTAGAGGCTGTACATTCTGCAGCACAACCAATCTGAGGTCAGGGATTTCAGGATCTTTACAGTAAATGCTCATTGGCAAACATACTGTATAAAGATAGATCTAGGGGCTGTACATGCTCAGTAGATGCATCAAGATATATCCTACAGGTTATTCTGCTGATTCTCACAGCTAATCAAAGGACAGAGAGTATTCCAATGTTTACAGTAAATGCTCAGCAGATAATCAAGATCTAAGTGCATCACAGCCAGTCAGAAATCAGGCAAGCATGGTTGTAGGTTGTTCATGAATATGTTATAGTGAATTTGAGAACTTTCTTATTATTTTTAGCTCTCCATCAGACAGGACATAATAGTGGTGTCATTCATGCGGGTATATACTATGCACCTGGATCATTGAAAGCTAAGCTTTGCGTAGAGGGCCTCAAACTCGTATACGAGTACTGTGACAAGCACAACATAAACTATGAAAGAGTTGGAAAGGTATGTAGGAAATCATCACTATCATCAGCATTTTGTATTGTATCCTGTGTCATGCAGTGTTAAGGCAGTATGATTTTCAATTGAAAGGGTTTCTTTTTTTGTGTGTTGGAGGTCAATCACATTGCACATATCATTGGTTCAGAATGTGGACGTTGAATTTGTTTGTCCCTGGCACACTGGGTGTACGTTCATGAATACTTGCCACTCAGCCGTAGATTTTGCACTTCATGCATGGTTGATTATAATGGAGTAACACTTAAAGAAGACTATTGATTGTGTTATGTGCAAAGTAAAATAGACCTTTAAATCGCAATGCTTTTCATAAAACTAGGATTGACGTTGTTTTGAAAATGTTCACCTCAAGTCCTTTTCTTAATTGTACTATTAAAATGCATTTTTTTTTTTAATTATTATTATAGTAATTGTGTTATTAAAGTACATGGTTATTCTTACTCTTCTGTGATGGTAAAAAATAATGTACCTTATCAGTTTGTTTCATGCTTTAGTGATTTGATGCTTAGATGACTACAATTATGATTGAAATACAGTGAATTGTAGTTATACCTGCTAACATAGATTCAGTGTGAGAATGGTTTAGAAATACTAACTTACTGTAAGCAAATCACATTAATTAACCAATTAGCAAACACCTTCTTCACATTAGTTGCCTGAATTTTTTTCACTATAAAAAAAAAAAAGAATTAATAATTCTCTGTTATTTGCTATGCTAATTAGTGAGACATTACGTCTCTTAGTTTTGTCTCCGGTCAGAGGACACTGTCATGCCAGGCACTCACTTCATCGTACAATGGTCGTATGACTGTCGCACAACGAATCCAACTCTACTGTCTGTGCGCTAGGCCACTCGACGCTGTCTGCTGATTGTCGATGGCAGTCTGAATGATACGTTGTGCACGCATTGCGTTTATCATAGGATCTCATCTATCGACGGCTTAAGGCATCCTTGTTGATAGCCTGTCATATGATTTCTAATCTTAGTCCTGTCTGAAATTATTTTTTGCTCATATTTTGAATTATAAATGGAAATCAAAAATATAAATAGTGTAAGCTCACTCCTTATAATGATCTGTGTAAATTGTGTGAAGTTTCAATGTAATCCATCTTTCTGTTTCAGAGTCATTAGTGCCTAAACATTTCTGTTACAATAATTTTAAAACAATACTATTTTGCACTGTTTATTATATATTTATCGTTCGCATAGCGATAGTGTGAATTTAATGTTCTCTACAGTACAAATCCATATGTTTAACATCATCATTACCATCATATTTATTTTTCTAATTAACATAAATGCTATTCATTTCATTTTGCATTTAAGTTACAAATTTCTCAAATGTGCCAGCCACCAAGTCACCAATTGTATTGTATTAATTCTGTTTTTCAAAATTGTAAATACATTTCACTTGATAGTTTTTAAAAAATTGTTGAAATTACCATTTATAGCAGTATTATTCTTTTTTGTATCTTATGTTTATTTTTATATTATTATGTAAGATGTTTTCAGAAAAAAAGCAACTGGAATAGAAAAGGTAATGTATTGTAACATTGATACATAACCACTTTTGCAGTTGATTGTTGCTGTTGACAAAAGCGAAGTACCAAGGTTAGAAGAGTTATATCAAAGAGGCCTTGTGAATAATGTAGAGGGCCTATCACTGATAGGGCCAGATGAAATACGAGAAAGGGAGCCATATTGTAAGGTAACTACCAATGCAGTGGCGTATCTAT